ATGATCCCCGAATGGTTTAACAATAATCAATGATGTGAATGGGACGGTTATGGCATTGGGTTTCCCACATCCCTGGCCCCAAGGAATCGTCAGTCCACGGCGCTGGGAGACCCAGCGATGTATCAAGCTGGGTCAAGTTGGATCATGGATAGGGGAGTTAGAGGAGAAAAAAAGCATCAAAAGGGAAGAAGCAACGAAAATTTCAGGGTGTTAGATTGTTTTAGCAGGAAAAGATATGTAGACAGTATAAATAGTGGCTTTATCACAGGATTAGACATAAAATGACAGAAATAAGTATCAAGAAGGAGGTAAACCAACTCATTGGATAGTTCAGTACACACTAATCTTACTATGCTTTGTTAAAAGGGAGATAAATCCGAGCCAGCTGCAAAAATGCGTTGGTAGTTGATCCAAGATTGGCATGTCTTGGGTTTTGGGCCCCACTTTTGTGTGGTGGTTGTGTTTGTAGTGGCCAGGGGTGCATCCTTTTGCTATTTCCATTGGAGGTTTCCTGAAATAGGGGGCACCCCAAAACCATGGCTTTCAATACTAAAATGGTATAAAAATTGTATAAAATGGTCATATGTTGGATGAAATTGGGGTAGCCCTATTTTAGGAAACCCCAAAAATCTGCTTTGTTCCCTCTCTGCTTTGTAATGTTAGAGGTAGAATCCTGGATTTCGCAAAAATATGAAGAAATACGGATTGATCCAGTCCCCCTGATGATATTATACATCAATATACATCACCCAGAAAACCTGGGGACTCGTACCGGATTTGTTCATGAATTGGCGGCCCATTTACGCTAATGAAATAGTTAATTATGTAGCATCCAGGAAAGGATCATGGATGTTTTCAATTTCACTGCATTACTCGACATAGTGCATCTCTTCAGGAATCTAGCTGGCCATTCGGCGATATATCCCATGTCGCCCTTCTTGGTCAAGTGACCTAAACCCTTGTTGCTGCCCATGGAGGCGTCGAAAACGTCACCCACCTTACTCCCTTTTTGTTGACCAACAGAAGCATCACTTTAGGGGCTCAACTCATAGTTTTCTACGCTTTGGTACGGCCTCTTTGGAGGGTTCTGTCCCAGGAGCAAGGGACGTCCTGAGGGAAAGATGACAGAGGTGAGGATCAATGGGGGGGAATGCCAAGCTCCGTGGGTGATTGATGGTGATATAGTTATTTTAAAGACACGTGGGCCTGTCTGAAAATGGTGTGTACCCCCCAAATGGAATCCAAATGCTACTTTTAATCGGGGAAATAATCTTTCACCAGTGGATTTCGAGGTACCCCATTTTCAGACAAACCCATGTTACCCCCCCCAAAAAAAATAAAATCATAGGAACATGTGGAAAAACACATGAAAAAAACAACTATAAATGGAGGTTTGGTTCGCTGGGAAAACTATCGATCTACTGCTGGGGGAATTGTCCAGCAAGCCGTGTTTGATAATTACTCAGACATGTTTGCAATTGATGTTTATTCTTCGGGATTTACAACCGCTTGCGCAAGTCCATTTTACCTCTGGTTGAGGTCAGGTATACTTTGAACCAATTTTTCCTGATACTGTAATCCCTTTCCCTAAATTTGACCCTCCCCCAGAACCCCCCAAAAAAATCACCGCCTTTTGCCTTTGAACGCGCAGGTTTGAGAGGCGAAATCACGCTGTAGAGCCAGCCATGGAATCTCCATTGTAGGGTCTGTAAGACTGTGCAAGGGCTAAGGGGACCCCCGGAAATGTATCATTTCAATGTAGTGAGTTATGATAATTGATTGTCTTATCACAACTATATTTAAATGTGTATATTATATACCCTATAGCTCCATGTCAGCAAATATATCTAACATCCATATGTGGGCACCAGAAGCTAACATTGCAATGTCGATCCCTGAAGCCTACATTCGTCTTTTTTATCGGAATCGGGATGGAATCGGGATGGAAATTGATAGTTTGTGGTGTGTCACCCGCAGCTGTTACCAAATTTCAATCCTTTAATGAAGAGATCTTCAGATTTCGGTTCGATGCTCAGTCAGAATCTTGTTTTTTTGGTGGCGGTGCAACATTTTGAAGAATAATGTTTAAGTGACAACCAGTTGGCCTAGGCGCATGGAGTGCTGGGGAGGTCAAGTCAACACTGCGTGATGATTTTCAAGGTGCCAATGCCCCCCCTTGCTAGCCTATTTGGTGCTGTGCTCTGGTTTTTGCGAATCCATGCCAACATCACATATGTATATACATCATCAAACCCATATATACTTAAGAGCATTTTGGCCCGTAGCAAGCGTGCGCGCTTTTTTCACTAGCTATGGCTGCTGGTGCTGTTGGTGATAAAACCGAGAGGAAGAAATATGAGTTCTTTCTGTTGAAGGCAATCATTGCGGGGATGCTGCGGGATGATGAGAACTTTCTTCACCGGGTTAGGAATGCTGGTTCAAAACATCCCTTTCTTCATGGAATGCCCAAAGAGGGCCCTGCGTCAGCCGAAGCCGTTGATCGTTTCCATTGGTTTTTGATGCCTATTCTTGCCCAATTTGCTGCTGACGGTATTCCTGCTCATGGAGTGTTCAAGGCCTGGTGTTGGCTGATTGTGTTTCTGCATTTGTGCGCGTGTGTTGTGCTGGCTGGTCCTAGCGCGCGTGATGCTGAATGGGGGTGCGTGTTTAGGCCACGATGATCAACATCGCGAAGACCCATGCGATCTTTGCAGAGGGCACACGTGTCAAGGTCATTAAGGTGGGGTTCGGTTTGCTCATACAATAAGTCTATATAAATGTTATTCTACAGACCGGCTGCAGGACTGGAGTGGATTCTGGGCCGGGCAAATGCGCAGCATGTGTGTGCATGCTATGACGTTGGCAACGCGATCTGAATCCAGCAGGACTGTAGCTTTCAACACCAATTCATGGTTTGATCTGCGTGTTTCGTTGTGCAGCCCAGTCAAGTTGTCACTACAGGGTCTGCTTTGGGTTGCATTTACGAAAACAATTCTCTAGTTTCTGGTGCCCACATTTGGATTATTTACTGACATGGAGTTATAGGGTATTTTATTAAGCTGACATGCATCTTATAACTATAATATAAGGTGATCGAGGAAACAAATTGTTTAACAATTTATCTTGCAAATCTCACAGGAGCGAGAATATCAAAACGTTGAAGCTGCTGGTGGCCGAAGTGACTGGAGGTTGGGTAAGTTGGTGATACAAATTTCCCCATTTACGCGATGTATGAAATATTTACCAATAGTTACCCCCAAAATGGTAAATATTCCATACATGGAGCATTGCGACAACATATATATATCAAATTCATTCTGAGATTCTGTCCCCAACCCCAGGCGATGCGAATGTAGAAGCACTCTACTCCACCAACAATACTGGGGGCAGTGTCTCTTCAAGCGATCAGGACCTGAATGATGCTCATTTAATAGAAACTTGCCCCTAGCTAAACATACAATATGCATGCAGGACCTTGAAGCCCTGGCAGATGAGCCCGTCAGATTCCTCACCCGGCAAGAGATGGAGGACAGCTGTCCCTTTTCACCACGACCTGCATGTCGTTCATTCGCCTTGTGGCCAGTTGGTCCTTGAGAAGACATACCACAGCTGATGCTATGCAAATATAAAAATACATACACACACACACATATATATATATATATAGATATGTGCATCATACTTTCTTTATAACCCCTTTATTCCTCCAATTGCAACAGGATCGGGAAGATTCACAGTATCCTGCTGACTATGATTGGAACTCGCTCTTTCCGGAGCCTGATTTGACAGTGTGTTTGCACAAGAAAGTAAAAGAATAGGCATAATGGTTTCCCTTCATGTAGGAGGATGCTACATCGACCAAATCTGCACAAGAGCTGGAGGCCCGAAAAAAATAGTGGCACTGGGTCCAAACAGAGAAGTTCACAGTACTGACTGGCCAGCTGATTGGAGGCTGATTGCCCAAGCAAATCTACAGAGGACGAACTTGGCCCGAAGCTTGAGGCACTGAGTTTCAGCTTTCAATGTTGGCGCAATTTGTAGCGCCTGGTCATGTGAAGTATTTCCAATAGTCTAATAGCCAAGGGGCCATATAGTGTGTATATATATATATACAAAAAGGCATCAACTGGATTCTAGTGGCTGATATTGTATATAGAATATTTTTGTCAACATGCACCTCAAACATTGACCAATACAGCAGGTACATTTACATTATGGAACATACATGGGATATATATCCATATCGTTGTATGTATATATATATATACATATTTATGATCTTTTGCCTATCAATATGGATCAATTCATATGCATGTGGTTCATGAGCCTTGAACCTCCTCTGGACAGGTGGCACCCACTCACTCGACTGCAGCAGCACCTGCTGCAAAGGCTGTGGACACAAGATTGGGTTTGAAGCCCGTGGGATTTTGAATTGTACATCATCCTAAATGTGATTTAGTAATAAGGGAATACCATGGGACCATGGTTCTTTAAACCTATATCTATAACAAGGGGTGTAGGTTGATATAAATATAAAAAAAAAAAATATATATATATATATATATATAACGGCCAGTAGAAAATGGGTAAACCGACCTCGCAAGAGTGCTCTTTCTGTCAGGGTGGATGTGGCGAAGGCCGACCGGAAGTATGAATCTCAGTTCTCTCGATTTGAATTATGACACATCTGTGTGGGGTACTCTAATTGAGGTTCATCCTGATCGACAGGCTTTCAAGGAGACATGATATCAAAACAAGCCCACAAACAAATTATATATTAATGCTCCATTTATGGAATATTTACCATTCTCTATATATGTGGGTCATTTTTTTGGGTAGATAGTGGTAAATCTTTCATACATGGAGCATATGGGATATATAAGTAACCACAATTGATCACATGTAATGTCCCATAGCGTGTTCGTTTCCAGGAAGCTCGTGGTGCGTTGCTCCCTGTACCCAATCGGGTTGACGGGTCTCTGGCTGAGCAAGTCAAAGCCATGCAAGAAGCTGCCCCCCATGATGATGATTTGGCAGCCGCCCAAGCCAAGGTGCTTAAATATATTTGGCAACGGAACATTCCTCAACATTAAATCAGATTCACGTTGTTTGTACAATTTTGGAATTAAAATGGGATGACTCCGTGCGAGGCTGCCAAGGCTGCCAAAAAGCGTCCTGTGCCCAAGAAGGGGGAAGGGGAAGACCCTGATGAGAATGCTGACCAAGAAGACGAACCACCAAAAGAAAAGAAACCCAGAGCGGCTAAGTCGAAAGCCAAAAAGAAGACAGATACCGATGATGAGGAGAAACCCGCTCCTAAACGTAAGAGTAAAACCAATGATGGAAAGAAAACCACCCGGCCAGCTGCGGCACCTGAAAGTGCAAGCAAGCCGCCTGCAGAAGCTTCGACAGATGACCTGTGGAACGAGAAGGAGGGATCAGGGTTGAAAAACATGATATATATATATATTGTTTTTGGGTCCAGCAAGTCATATATATATATATAGATAGATTATATTATATACCCGTATGCATCTCATCCTTTTGCATGTTCAGGAGCCTGCGCTGAAAGCCGCACAGATTCCGATTCCAGAAGGCGTTTCCCCCGCAGAGGCTAGTGATGCTGGTGATGTTTACAATGAAAATACTATATATATATATGGAAGATTTGCCAACATTCACACAAAAAATCACTTAGATGTACCTGGTAAGTATTCCATATATGTTATTGAATCATATATGGGAGTGTTGGGGTCAGTCACAAACAAACATTCGCATTTTGGAGGCTAAATCGTTCACCTTGAAGCCCAACGATGCCACGACCCAGAGCTCAATTGGAATCCTGCCTTAGCCTCGGGATCCATATAATGTTTGTTTCCCCCATCGCGCCATCTTTTGCCTAGGTGGTCGAAGGATCAGATGTATGTCAGCCAGGTGCCCCTGGATGAGGCCAACGTCCCAAAGTGTGGCCAAGAGTTTTTGGAAAAACATAAAATCAAAGTGAACAGCAACCAGGGTGCCACCCTGTCTGTAAGAAAGCACCAGGGATGGAGCACGTGTTTCATTATTGCCAAGAAAGTGGCTATGTGGACCGTAGATTGATGTGATAGCTACATCAACACTCGTGCAACCGTTGATATGCGTAGGGTCCTGCCCACAACCAAGTGGTACAAAGTTCTATATATATATATGTGTGTGTGTGTTAAGAATTTGGTTCCCAACATGTTTGAAATAAAACCAGCCAACTTGTGATGTATGCTATTTGTGTTCCAAACTTTGCAGCTGTGCGTACTTAATGTGGGGGCTGGCCCGGTGCACAAAGCAGCATAGACTGCGCAGTTACCAGCTTTGAAGCTGCTGGGGTGGCAGCCAAAAGAAAAAGGTTTCCAACATGCTTTGCAGTTTCAAATGGAAGGACTCATAAAGATCGGTGTCTTAAAGATCCTTGTGGCATCTTTGGTTTTCATTCCTTGCAATTCCATGAGCTCATGTCCAAAAGCCCGGCCGGAGACTTTTCGGCTACCAGCACTTCATATATAGATCTTTAACTGAAGCTTAAGCACAATGCGCCGGGGCTTGCAACTTTCTAGGAGGGAAGCCATGATCCTTCTCCTGATTGGACTACCTCCCTTGATGCGCCTAGGTGAAATTAAATACATATGTATGTATATATGTATGTATGTATGTATGTATGTTTGTATGTTTGTATGTTTGTATGTATGTATGTATGTATGTATGTGTGTATGTATGTATGTATGTATGTAGGTATGTAGGTATGTAGGTATGTAGGTATGTAGGTATGTAGGTATGTAGGTATGTAGGTATGTAGGTATGTAGGTATGTATGTGTGTAGGTATGTAGGTACCTTAGGTATGTAGGCATGTAGGCATGTAGGCATGTAGGCATGTAGGCATGTATGGATGTATGTATGTATGTATGTATGTATTTTCCTGATAAACATATACCACATATATATATATGTATATATATATATATCCATGCATAACAATTATATATTATACACCGGTTGAAACCACCAGTTCCTCCAAACTTCTACCACCGCCCCAGGATTCACCTCACTGACTATGTATCCCAATGTGAGGGGGTCAGTGATCTTCCAAGCAGTTCCTGGGACCGCTCTTTGGACAGCGTGGAACTGTTTTCAGGAAAAGGAGAGCTGACTGCAGCAATGCGCTACTTGGTTCAAAGCCCGTTTGTTGTGGGGAACTGGCCCACTGGATGAAACAAAACAATGTGAGCCCTATTCGATAGTTTTGTCTTTATATATGTGTGTGCATGTGTGAGACATATATTGATGTTATTTAAAACAACTCATTGTATTTGATTGGCTTCGAAGTATGAGCTCTTTGGGAAAAACACACGCCTTACCCCCCTTGTTGGATATTGGATTGTCAATGCCCTTGCAATTGCTCCAAGGTCGGGCTGGGTTTCGGGCTCAATGGTTCGATTGGCTCCACAGGCCAGTTGACCTGAGGGCTGGGGGGTCTGCTCATCAAATTCCTACAAGTGATGATTCCAAAACTTTTTTTTTGTTGTAGTCAAATTTACTCTTGTCAGTAGTGCTTGCAGGTGGCTGGGTGGCCACAGTGGGTGCAGTAGAGTCATTCCAAAAGTTGTCAGGAACCAAACAGAAGATTTCGTTCATAATAGGTATTCGTTCTGTGGTGCCTGAAACCAACCCCAGTTTCCAAGCCTGGGTCCCCGTGCCAAAGCTACAATCTGCAGGCCAGATGACATGAACAACCTCCTGACCGTAGCAGGCATGATGCAGGCGGTCAAAGATACCCTTCGGCTTCGTGAAGGAGGACTATTATTCGGAGGGGTTCCGTGTAGTTCGTGGCTGGGGCTTGTTGGAAATTATTGTCTTGATTTCGGAAACCTATTGCAATAATCCTGAAAACTTAAACATTGAAGATCTAGCTGGGAATCTAAGGTGGGTGTGGCTGAGTTGCCCAACACATATGCGTCACGTGGCCATATTGGGTGATAGCCGTGACTTGGACCCGAAAATGACAAGTGTTTTTTAAATACTATAATATTATAAATTAATATATATATATATAATATATATGCTCTAAAATATTGGCCCAACAAACATAATCATTGGTAAATAAATGCCATACATGGAGCATTTGGGTTTTGAAACAAAATCACAGTGGCTAGTGGATTGCCAAGGCCAAGAAATGGTTCGTATTGGAAATATCCTGGGGGCTCGATTTTGCCTCCTTGCCGGCCTAGCGCTAGTTATAGGAGCGCATTGGGCAGACTCTTGGTTAAAAGCTTTGATTTGCAAAATGAATCAACAGGATTTTTGCTGTGGAACCCCTACTTACACAATCAACACTTTGAAGGTTGAGCAACCGTCCACAAGCCGATTCATCCATTACCCCTACATGACCTGGTTGGAACGTGTGGCCAAATGCTTCTTCAAACGCTTGCTTGAAACTCAGTGAACATGACCATTATGTTTTTTGCTTTCTGTGTATCCCTTTTATAACTGAATTGTAAGCCCTCACAACCAGTCCAATGGCGAACTACCACCACTTCAGCTTGAAGCCATCGTATCTTTGTGGATCACCGTTACAATCTCAGCGAGGCAGCACACTGCTGGAATGTGTCTGTGTGAATCAGCACCTTCGAAATTCAAGATATACCAAAACAATAGCCAACTGGAACCTAAAAGCAAAATAGTTTCCGATATTTGACAGTACAACTTATTGATTCCAAAGCCCACTACATCTAGCTCAGTTGTTATATATACTTCAAAGAAGATTCGAGGTCCTGGGTGATGAATGTGTTGGGAAAGCTGGAGCCATTCCACAAGGAAAGGCTTGCGACATCAGCCGAGAAGTCTGAAATGGTCAAAAGGACCATCAATAAGGATGGAAAGCGGTGCACGTAGGGGTCTTAATTTTCCAACAAGGGTATCCAGGCTCAACAGCCTATAGTATATATATATATCCCAGTATATGCTCCATAATGGTGTGAAAGGTTTACCAAAATTTACCCCTAAACCATATATATATATATATGTTTGTAGATAATGGGACTGTATATGGAACATTGGGATATATATATATATATATATAATCAGAAATTCGAGACTGAATATGGAATGTTTTAGAACCCATGCCATCCAAACCACCCCCCTGGAGCCCTTGCTCCTTGCTCCATCGTGCAAGGTCGGGAGGGCCCATGCTGAAGCAGAGCGGAGCCTACCCACGAGCTTTTGGAGAGTTCGTTACAGAGCAATTCAAGGCTGATTGGCTGGGGCAGGGGTGTGCCCATATGTGGGGTTTCAAAATTAAGGGGTCCGTGCGCCCGCATGCGGGGACCCTTTTCATCTTGAGGATCCCTTTAAAGGATTTTTGTTAACTGTAAACCCAAATGGCTGGGGGCTGGGGTTCTCTTTTTGAAAATGATGGTGGTTTTTGAAAAAATGATGCACCGTGGGTTCCCAGAAAAATTTGCGAATGTTCAATAGCAGGGGTTGGTATATAAAGAGTTTTCCCCCAGGGTCACGAAAAAGTGGTTTTAAGAAGGCTTTGCAACCCCTATTAATTTTGAAATCCCCATTCAAGGGAAAATCTGTTATATGTATATGTATATAGTTGCATGCGGTCAGACAGAACACACACACATCATACAAAGAGAGAGAGATATATATATATATTATGTTTATCTATATTTGCACAAACTATACAACTGTTCAAGAAATCACCATGTCATTTAAATATATATATTATATATGTTGCACACAAACACTGTTCATATCCATCATGTTCCCTTAAGTTCTGGAAACCAAATTGTTGTATATTTATGTTGCACACAAACACTGTTCATATCCATCATGTTCCCTTAAGTTCTGGAAACCAAATTGTTGTATATTTCACAAACAGCCAGTTTTGTGGTTCTATATCAAAGCCGTGATCTTCAAATAATGGTGGTTTGAAATTCGATCCCTCAAACCCGGCACCCTCCATCTCTCGCTACAAGTAGATAGATTTATTTAAACATGTACCCATTCAAATATGAATATATATATATAAATATATTAATATATATATATTTGTGAAGGAAGATGCATCGTGACACCATACCCGAAAATTTCAAAACATATGTACCGTTCAATCAATTCCCAATCTTGCTGTGGCATGGATATATTGTTGAGAGTTTTGAACATCCCCTTCCAAACTAAACCCTGCCCTCCAGTCGTGGTAGGCAGGACAGCCTCCTGTGAAGCTGGCTGTGGATTTGCCAGATGACCTGTCGTCCATCCATATTGAGAGGGCACCGTTTGACTGGGCACATGCTGATTTACAACCCCTAAGGGATTACCTTTTGCAGGCCAAAGAGGCTGGCAAATTTGTGCCTCAACCTGGCTTACCCCTTTAAAAGCCAAAACTGAAGAGATCTGGGATGAAAAGGACCCCCTGCACTTTGGTGGGTGAGCGGTATAATGCTAAATTGCTTTGATCAGCCCCTGGCATCAAATCATTTTGGTATTTGATTTCAAAAAGTTAAATACCTATCGGTTGCCCATAGACCCAGAATGTCCTTGACCCAGTTCTCTATCAACCAAGCTTTGGGTTGGCCCTGAAGTGGCTGTCCATGAGCCTGCACTTTACTAATTTGCTCGCATGATTGGCGATGCAACACGTAAATTCAACTCAAATCTTGTTGTTTCTTCACAGCAGGAACTGGGTGACCAGGTGAGTGGTTCAGAAAATGACCGTGACGAGACCGTGACGAAAGCGTGACGAGATTTATCGGAATTTGTCGGAAATCGGATCAGCTACAGTTAACTTTAAAAGGAAAACCAAAAATCGGACCAAACAAAATCGGAAACTGACCGTGACGAGACCGTGACGAAAGCGTGACGAAACGTGATCTCTAAAACCCACATTTTTGTTTGTAGCCATTTTGAGAGGAAATCTTGAGCTGATAGATTGGTTGGTACGCCTTTGGGTTCGGCGATGGAAGATGATAAGGTCAGGGGCCATGTCAAATCTAGCCACGAGAATTTATATCACAAAGGTTTTGGTGAAGATTTGAAGCCCCGTAACATAAAAGAGTATAGATTATAAAACACCTGCTGCCCACAGGAGAAAAGTGCCGCAGTGCGAGAAGCCTTGAAAAAGGCAGCTGAGCTCAGGGTGAAGGTTGCTGCTGAACACAGCCTCGATATTGGGGATCGGGCTGTGAAGCGCAAGAAAGACAAGGTCCAGGCCGTGGTGCTTGGGGGGAATTTGTTGGTTTGTATGGGTTCAGATTCAGATCGATCACATCGAAGATATATATATATATACATATATATATAGTTTCAAGATGTGTTCAGCATTATATATTATAATATATATATATAATCCATAACCATGAAGGAGTAATACCCGTAATGTCAACCCCGGATAGATAAATATGAGGGTACCCTCTACAATTATTGTAAGTAGTGATAATCTAATACTTAAATGATATCCCCCCGAATTAAACAGCCTGGGGGTTTATTAATCCAGGGTTGACATTACAAAATATGTATTAGTTTTTTCTGGTTGCCGGCAGGCGCCTCCATCACAGAAGGTTACCCCGGAGCCCAAGATCGCCCGGAGTACATCGAGCGTGAGTTTGACTACAACTTCTTCTTCTGTTGCCCCAAAAAGTCTTGCCATGAGTTTTGATCAAGCTGCCGATGAAGGGGTTGCAGCTACCAGCACTGCAGGCTTTCTACAATGTCCCAATGCTATTATTGGAATATGTGTTTACCAACATTTACCTCCTAAGTGATGTTCTAATCATGGATCATTTTGGAATGTAATGGCATTATGATGTGGTGCAATCATATATATATATATATGTCTACAATAGAAACTTATGTGTTTTTCAAAATCCCCTGTAGGTGACGATGTTGGAAAACCTTTGTCTTCCTCGACTACCTGCCCAGATCTACTGGATACACTCCCCATGGAGGATCTATTGAGCATTGTTTTGGGTGAAATATATTGGTTGATATTGTTTGATGCCGCCATGCAACCTTTCACCTGCACACCGTCTTCCGATGCTTGAGGAGCCAACTGCCGAAGGCATGGTGCCAGCCCCATCGAATCCTTCGATCTGTCCGGCCTTGGTCAATCCAACCAGTGTGGGAAACCCGAACATGTTTTC